CTGTTAATTTTGGACTTGAGGAGAAATAATATAAGTATGACTCCTTTGTATCTCCTCCCAGATAGAAATTAGAAAGAACAACTTGCCTATGTGTATAAATCTATTAATGCTTTTGGTAGTAATACCAGGAACAATGAGAAGCTTTCACTCTATTATTAGTTAGGTCTTCTCTTGTATCTTAAAGAATTCAGTAATAATATCAGAAGTACTACCAGATCCTACTTTCTGCAAAATCGTCTGTCTCATTTTTACCCAATTGCTAAAAGAGCCTATACTCTGTATTCTATGAGAGATAACTATAATATCCCCAGTATCACCCATATATTGTGTTATGTGTTATGATATATGTCAGATGATAACTTTCAAGAATTATTAACAGAAGCAACAGAAGCACAAATAAATAAACAACAAGAGTAAACCATTGATTTTTTTTTTTTTTTTTTTATGAGTTTCTGAGTTCTCGCAAGAGTTCAAATATAAGAAAGAAAGTGTGTTACTATATTTTTTTTATCCCCTTCATTGTTATCACATTTTCACTATTGTTCCTATTCATTATATCTCATTATCATTAATCTTCGTCTATATAGTTTTTCTTTTAATTGTTGTCACTCCCTTCTACTCCTTTTTCTCTTTTCTTGATATTACTTATTAATACTTATTACTACTTACCTTTGTTTATCCATTTATTTTATACTATCCACTTTGTTTTTGTCTTCTTCACTATTCCCTCCATCCCGAATTCATCCTAAAAATCTTGATCCTTTATTCTCTTTCTCCACCTATTTTATAAATTCTTTCAGTTACACCTGTTACATGTCACATGACTTTTGATATACTACGAACTGCAGATACTATGGTTTATCACAGATTACTGTGGAAATCATCATTTTGCTTAGATTGTGATCACTCTTTCTAGCGAAAGATCACTTATCAAGGTGAAAATACAAATGTTTTAAATTGTCACTACCTCCACAGTAGCCAAGAAGCCAAACAAGACTAGAATTAAGTCTATTTTATTATTTTCTTTCTTTTTCTTCTTTTTTCTTTTTTCATCGTGTAATCAATTGATAGATTAATTTATATTTTTAGAATAGAATTAAAATAACTATAAAAGTAACTTTAATTTTTTTTCTTCATGTATGATGAAATCAATTAATTAAAATCATTCAATAATTAGTTAATAAAATAATCAATTAGTGATTATTAAATTTGATTAATCCTTTAGATAGTTTTGAACAAACATATAATAGATTTCTTTACTTTCTTTATTTCTTTTGTATTTTCTCTATTTTCTTAATAAAATCTTTATCTTGTCTATAAATAAGTTATACACATATTTGTTTATTTTTTTGTATTTGTTTATAAATTATAAATAAAGTTTATATTGTATAATTCAGAGTCTTAAAATAAACTATTGATCTTTAATTCTTTGCTCAAACTGTCATATAACTTAGCCAGAACTCACTTTTCTTCATTCTTTGAACTCATCTATTCTTTAAATCCTTATAAAATCCTAGTAAAACTATTACATTTTATTTTCTATTGCTTTTAGATTAGAATTTGTTATATTTTCTCTTCTCTATATTCACTATTCTTCCTTTAAATTGCACTTTCTCTATTTTATCTAGTTTCTTAACCTATAGTATACATTGGTCAAAAATTGATAAAATATATACATATCGAATACCCAATATATGTATGATACGTCCCTAATATCAGGTATATATCGGGTACCTGATAGGTGTAAAAAATATTTTATATATATATTGGGTACCCGATAAGTGTAAAAAAATATTTTCTACATCTATCAGGTACCCAATATATGTTTGATATTAGGAACGTACCATGCACATATTAGGTATCCGATATGTGTATATTTTATCAATTTTCAACCAGTAATAAAAAATTAGTTATTTTATTATTATTTGTCTTTCTATACTTTCAAAACTCACTAATAACTATTGGGCTAAACCCAAGCACTTATTATACTTGTCCCCTCGCTCTCCCAACAGGTAGTATTACCAATTTTATATATACTTTATTATTATTTCACAATATATTAATAGTTAATATGTCTTTATAGATCAAATATAAATTTAGATAGTTTGACAGTAACATCCCTTCCTCTAAATTTCTAATTAGATAGATTTTATCATGTATTTTATCTATATTTTTATCATCATATATTTTATTAATAAAGATTTTTGGTCTCATGAAATAAGGATATTTCACATCTAAAGGAACATACAATGTATCATGTATTATTTTTTATATAATATAGATGTGTAATTTTTTTGTATATATAAAATGGTTAGAAGATTAAGATCAGGTAGTACACACTTATCCCCCAAAGCAATTAGTAATATAATTATTAATGAGGATATAACAAATATATTACTGATATTGCTAAAAAATATAATATATCACATACATGGATTCATGAAATATGGGAATTTGCTATTGCGATAAATAATTAGTAAAGCTAAAAATACTAATATATACATAACTTGTATTTGCAAAAATATGATCAATATACAAATAAATTTGAATTTCTTCTGTGATATAAGATTGGGATTTTAAAAAAATGTAATAATTGATCTCTTTGAGATATAACTTTATTAATTTTAATATTTTTTTTAACACTATAAACTACAATGTAAAAGGCTAATCCAGTAGATAGAAGTATAGAATAGAAAGTTAAGAGGGAGAAATAAAGCATAAATGCCTATTGCCCTTTTGAAAATTTGATATAAAATACAAATAGTGAAATTAACTTTAGATATTGCTAAAAAAATTGTGTGTAATAGAGAAGGTGAATGTTTTTCTGAAAAATATTTCAATAGTAATATCTCAATGTTTTAGAAATGTGCTAAAAATTATTTATGATCTATAAACTTTAATTGTGTGAAAAATAAAAAAGTATGGTGTCCATGGTGTGCAGTTGAAAATCAATATACTCAAATGATCGAATATATGAGAAAGTTTGTGAGGAAAAAAGGAAATCTTTACCTTATAACTAAGTATATTAATAGACAGGATCCTCTTGAATAGCAGTATAAAAAAAGTCATAAGTGGAAGGCTTCAATGAAAAATATTCTTAAGGGAACTTGGTGTTGAAGGTATAGAAAACATGTTATTCCAATACAAAAAATATTGTATCAAATATACAATGCCAAAAATATCGATTCAATATTGATATAGCAAATAGTATTGTACAAGAATGAGATAGTAAATGCATTTTTACAGAATATGTTAATACAGATACTTCGATGCTTTAAAGATATGCCAAAGGTTATGAATGGTTCACAACCTTTTATCAAATAAAAAATATGGGAAAATGGTATCCACAATGTTCTGGAATTTTTCCTTGTGGTCTTATAGAAGCAAAAGAAATCACTCATAATAGAGGAGATTTGTGTCTTTCTAAGGAATATATAAATACCTATGTTCCTCTACAATAGATGTGTAGTAAAGGCCATAAATAGTTCATAAATTTTAATTATATAAAATACTCTAAATCATGATGTCCATATTACTTAAATAAACAAGAAATCTTATATCATGAGGTCATAACTAATATTATTGATACACCTTTTAACATTTGCCAATCAGATTTCTTGAAAATACCAGAATATCCTCGAGGTCTAGAACTTGACATCCACTATTTGTAATATGAATTTGCCATAGAAGTACAAAGCAAATAACATGAGCAATATATAAAACACTTTTATAAAAATAAGGAAGACTTTGAAAAATAACTAATACGTGATTAACTCAAGAACAAATTATGTGAAGAAAACTGAATTGTTTTAAGGTATATTTGATACTATAAAGACCTATATATAGTTATTCCAGAGCATCTTCGAAAATTGAGTTTTATTGAGTAAATTTAAAACTTTAAATAAATAGAATTATAGATTCAACTGTAATATAATTAAAATTGAATTATTTATGTAAATTTTAATCTCAACTTTATTAATAAAAAAATATAATCTTTTTTTAAGAGGTAGTAGAAGTTGAATGTAACCATGATAAATAATCTATTTGAGAAGCAATGGTACAAATTTGGTCACATAATAAGTCTACTGCATTATTCAATAAAATTTAAATAATTAGAATATTTCTCTCAAATTAAATATTAAATATCAAAAAAAAAACTAATTCAAAAGATATCAAAATTTGATATAATTTCACTATTGACTCAGGGCTTCTAATAGTTTTTGAAATAATTAACGATTCTACTTCAGCCAATATATATATATCTGGAGACTTAAGGTCCAAAATGCAAACACTTATTTTAAATCTGATGATAAAAATTATGATTCGTCTTGTTTTGTCAAGATATATTTTGTTCTAATTTATATCTTGGTCCATTTCATCTTTTGAATTTATTGCCTCTCGATATATATCTTAATAAATTTTTTGTTTATTATTTTTATATTTGAGACTCGTTACCTTAGCAAATATAACTATGTGAGTGTTATCTTTATTATTTAATTTGTAGTCAGGACTATACATGTTCCCAAAATTGATTTTGGATTTTTGAGGTATTTCGACTTTTTGAGATTTATGCAAAATCTATTCTATATATGGAAGTAAAAAAAGTATCTAGTTATATGTATCTTTAATCAAAGAATAAATCTGGGTGGTCAAAAAATTTTGGGTTTTAAGTAAAATAATTTCGTCTTCTATGAAAAACTATTTCAACTTTTTTCCCCGAAATTGTAATTTCGGGGCCCCAAAATAATTTTGCGTGCAAGTATAGTCAGGACATTGGCCATACTGTCAACATAATTTGGAGTTGTTTAATTCCACATCTATCCTATAAAAACAAAATCACAAATTAGTTTACTTCTAAAAAATTAAATTGATTATATAATATTATACCATGAATGTGATATAGTATAATTAATTTAATGAATTGTTTTATTAAATAGTGGTGTGATAAAATCTATCATAAATGTTCCTTCTATTAATTCTTCCATATTAACAGATAACTCCTATAAAATGCATTCCTTTAATAGTCTAAAAAATATCCTCATTAAAAAATTTCTAGATTGAACTGTAGAATTTTGTCTAAGAAATCTTTCAATTTCTTCTAAACTATCTTGTTGAAAACTCTAATAAAACAAATATGTTAAAATATGAAAAATTATAAATATGATATAAAACTTAATTCACAAATCTTCTTATATTCTTTCACGAATCTAGTTATTTCTTCTGGAACTACAAGTCTTTTGAACTTTAAGTCGATATGTAATCAAAATACTAATATTTCATCTGATGTTAGGAAATCACTATAACTTTGTTCATTTTTTTATTAAAAATAAAAAATGGATGATGCATCAAAAATGTGATAAATGCTTATCTTAGATGAGTAACCTATTCCACAAGGTAATTGTTAAAGAATATGTTATTACCATTTAAACAATTTAATATCAAAATTATTACTGCTGTTTTTAATAGCTTCCAAAATCAGCTCTTGTATTTGTGATAGTTGGAAGGATTTAAAAAACATTGTGAATCTTTTCTGCATGTAGGTAATATATTATAAGCTCATTCGTTATTATATATTATATATTACTTAAAAATTCTCATACCTTAAATTCTTCATCTTCACTTTTTGGTTCTACATACAATGGTCTTTTCTGAATGGAGACATTAAATAAATTTAATAAATTTACTAATTTGTATATATAAATACAAAACTTATTATATCATTATCCTTTTTGCTTACCTATCTTTTTGATCTGAGGTGATATTAATTATTTTTTTCTTTAAAAATTTTTGATTCTATTGATATTAATTGAGGGATTATCAATTTTAACCTTATCATTCCATTCTCATGCTAATTTATGATCAGGCCGATTGCTCTAAATGAAAAACTTAGAAAGGTTAACAATACTCTTGATTAATCTTTTAAATCTTATTTATATTCTACCAGGTTAGCCTTAAGTCTTGAATGAAAGAAATCCTCAAGATTTTTTTGCCCAGTGAGGTTAGTCCTGAGTTAGCTTTAAGCCTTGAACAAAAAAAATCCTCAAGATTTTTTCACTTCAACACTAACTTTATAACTTACCCTTAAGACTTGAATATATGAAATTCTCAAGATCACACTATGCTACCAAATTTTTTTACTTTTAACAAAAAATATATATCATCTCTTGGTATTTAATAAGCAATTCTTTTACTCATTTATTACTTTTTCCTTTATTTCTATTTGTAATAGTCTCCAGAGATTTAAGATAAATATTTATTTTATAACTTTTGTCATTATTGTCTTGATATTCCTTTAAAAACTCTTCAATATCTTACTTAGAGTATGTTCGATTAAAATATTCAAGTACCTGTTTTTAAGTATTAATGAAAAGTTCAGTATTGACCCTTAATAAATTAATTCCAGTGATATTTAACTTAAAATAAACTTGGACATAGTTAAATCAAATTTTTATTCTATAAACTAACATATAGTATATAATGGGAGATAAAAATACTTTCCTATTGGTTGGAGACTTAATATACATGATTTTATTATACAGATAACAAAAAAAAAGATTTATCCTACTGTGTGACTAGGATTACATGAATAATGAATTATAACTTTATTAATAATTATATATTTTAACATTATTTTTTAAACGGGAAGTAGGGAGGAATAAAATATGAAAACATATCTGTTAGGATTCTAGACCTTTTATATTGTAAAAAATAACAGTTCCATTTTCTACTCCATAGTATCTATCTATTTATCTATTTTATCTATGGTAGAATTAAAACAACAGATATTTCTATTATAATAATTTTTAACTGTCGCTTGACTAATATTTCCTCCAATATCATTGATATGTATTGCTATTTTATTATATATTGCATCAAAAGTGAAATTTCTTTTGACCTTGACTCTATCAAAAATAATTTTAAAACGAGTTCAAATAGTTAAGATAATGTTGATATATTGTTTTCGTTTAGAAGTTGCAATCAAGATTTTTTTTATTAGCAATTTAATTATTTTTTCTCATTATACATATCATACATCTCAACTTAATATTTACTTGATGAATTTGGAGATGAGCAAGTAGAAGATAAAGAATAAGCAGATGATATTTCACTTGGTTGATTGGATCTTCTTTTATCTATACTTTAGCTAACAATATAATGTTGATTAATTTCGCTTTAGATCTTTGCAATGGTTAATTAATTTGAATTCGGCAGTAATTTGATTAAAATTGTTATAGTAAGTTTCTAGAATTTTCTTAACTTCATTATATTTCCCAGAAAAAATTTTTACAAAAGCAAAAAACAAAAAAATAGTTATAATCATAAAAAATATATTTTCTAAGATGATAAATGAATACATTTATATAAAGAAAATCAGCTTAGAATTAATTGTAAATATAGTGAATGGATATCTTATTTTAATCAGAGCTAAGTAAATTGAATTCGATAAGTTTATTTTTTTTTAGATATTTTTGTTGTCTGCAAATTTTTATTGTTTGTATTATGGCATTTTATTAATTTTGAATTTGTAAAAGAGTGGGATGACAAAAAAAATACAACTTTTATAGGAAAATATATTAATCAGTATTTATTACATATAAAGGTTAGAATTTTTTAGAGACAATTTCAATTTTAATTTACTCGTAATTGTAATCATTTTAATAAAGAATATATTTTGACAATAAAGAATATGATTTAATATGATTTTAAAATAATCAGTATTGGTATTGTTATTTTATTTATAGTATGCATTTGTGATCGTAATTATATCAAAAGAATATCCATTCTGTCAATTTATTCTCAATAAAGTTCATTCTTATCACACTTAATTATCCTGTTTACTTCATAATCAATTGTTATTCCCTCATAATCAACTGTACATATTACGTTATCTTAAACACATACCACAATCACAAGTGATATACATGAATATTACAAAAAAAAAGTTATCAGCATAATCAACATAAAATATCTCTACAAAATAAAATTATAGGAGTGTCAAGTGGTGCATTTTCAAATATACATATAGTTCAGTATACTCAAATACACCTACTATACTTTTTCTTATTTCACTTTTTTGTAAATTTAGAATAGATTGAACTAAGGTCTTTGGATTCGTGTATCTTTTTTACTGATATATCTTTTGAGATGCAAGTGGAAATTTTCATATCATCAGATAAATCAATTTCAGAAGAAGCAAAGCTTCGATGCTCCACATCATCTGAGCTAATATTATAATATTTAATTATAGATTCATATGTATCTTCTTTGAATATATATGAAAATTGATTATCAATAAATCTTATTTCTTATCGTAACTTGTCCATTTCTTTTTTCAAGGTTATAATAGAATTTCTGAGATATTTAAGTTCATTTTCTACTTTTTATTTCATGTGTTTATTAAAATTTTCTGTCATTTTTATACAAAATAGAATTATATTATGATAATTATAAATATCAATAGAACCAGTTAAAAAATATATATATATATATAGCAGATAGGTAAAACCAACTAGCTTCCTCAATTTTGTTTGATCAATACAAGTAAATTCCAATCTTTTATAGTATCTCAAGGAATTGTGTTATTTTTTATTTTGTATATATTAAATTTAATGATCTCCTTTTTTGATTCACTTAATATTCCATTAGTAAGCATACACCTTTCAATCTCTACTTATTTTTTAGTTTTCTCAAGTAGTTTTACCTAATATTTAAGTACTATACTATATTCCATATATCTTTGAAGTAACTTTGCATGATATTTTAACTCCATACCATTTTCTATATATCCTTAAAGTTCTTCATCATCTGAATAATGATTTAGTACTTTCTTTATTCTTTTATCTTTTTTAAGCCCTAATTTATGACCTTTTAATACTTGTATCTTTCACCTTTTTCGAAGTTCATGTTGATTTTTTTGTACTAAGTTTTATTAATTTAATAAAATTTATCTAGATTCTCTAATGGAAATTTTTGAACAATTTCAATGATAGTATCTAGAAATGTGAGTAGATTATATGAATGCATATTGTATATTTCAAATGTATAGATTTTATTAACTAAAGTTTTTTATTTAATATAATTCTGATTGATAATTAGTATTGAATATTTATTATATTATAAAAAAATCTTTGTATTAGGTAGATATTATTATTATTAGTAAATCTAACTCACTGGCATAATATAAATTTAATGATTCTGGTTATATTCTAAATAAGTAACTTTGGATTTACCATATACTTGTTTTCTAATGTTGGATAATGCTGAGTTACTATTGCTTTTTTTTTAGTTAACTTTGAAGACATACCTGCTTTAATCATACTTTTATATGCATCAATTCTCCAATGATCATATGTTCAAGGCATAATTTTATCTGAAAGTATTTAATTCTTTAAATTAAGAAGGTACAAGGCCATTTTCTCAAATTTGATCAATGATAATATATGATTTTTAGATCAAAATCCTATATTCTTTATATGGAATACTTTATTTTCAAAAAGACAATCTCGATATACTTTAGTTATAGAGGAAGTGTTATCAAGATATGTATTTTTAACCATTATTTTCATATCTCCTTTACTAACTCCTTTATATTTTGATCTAGTACTTTCATCTGATATAACGTAATAATATGTTTTGGCTTAGATATAAAAAAATTCAATTATTATTTTATCTGAACATTCATCTTTGAATAGACCAATAGTCTTGAAATTATCAAGATTGAAAATATTAGGTCTTTCTGTCATATCTTTATAAATATCTTCAGTCTCAATTTAAAATATAAATAAATCAGTATCTATATATCTGAGCTTAGTTTTATTACCATATTTTTCTTTTACATATTTATACCAGAATCAATACATTAATAACTTACTAAATTTCAAGACTGATGCACTAACAATAATTGGTTTATTAAGAATTACAAATGCTTAACTCATATAAACACCAATAAGAATATTGGATAATTGTCTGACATATTTGAATAAAGGTTTACTTACCTTTTTTCAAAACTTCTTCTTATTATTATCATTATTCATAACCATAATCTTAACATCTTAATACTTACGAATATTTTTCATAATCTTGCCATATATTGAATTATTCATAAGTTTGAAGAAGTCTTTTTCAAAATCATTCTTAGTTTTTTTATATAACTTAGTATTGAAATTAATGTATGGAGCAAGTCAATTAGTTTGGTTAAATGAGAGTATCTCAGTTACTTCATCTACAACCATTTCTAATTTAATATAATATTAAAACTTCTGATAATTAATTACATAACTATTTATTGAATCATTTTTAGGACCAAGATGTGAAACTAATTTCTTTATTTCTAAGAATTGACCTCTATCCAAATCTTTTATCAATTTATTATTACAAGGACTAAACTAATTCTTTTTTATTGCGATATTCTCAACTACTAGAGATAAGTCATTAAAATAGTTATGTAACTTGCTAAAGAAGTGTGCTTTGATATTTAGGAAATATCCTTTTGGAATATTGGCTTTAGTTTCAAGAATCATTTTGAGATATCTCATTTGTAGATTTCTCTTATTACTTAAAATTACTCTAGTTACATGTCATTTATACTTACCAATTAGTAGAAATTGACTCATGGCCCATTCATAAAGATTATTTGCATCGACGTATGAGATCTATGTTGTAGGTATAGGTACTGTCCAAATTCAAATTGCTAAATCCCAAATACTAAATCCCAAATCCCAATTCCAAATCCAAATTATTTTTAATATTCCAAATTATTTTTGGCATCCCAAATTATTTTTGGCATTTCAAATTATTTTTGGTATCCCAAATTATTTTTGACTATATAAGTTAACTTGGGTTACTTTAAATAAAGCTCAAGACTACACATGTTAAATTCA